GACAGGAAGGGCTGTAAATGAGACTTGAACATGTAGCCTCGAAAGTCAAAAGTTGTGTGAGTTTAAGTAGAAATTTCTTTTTTTTTAACTTTCATTTAAAAATTTTAAGTATAGTTGGTATAAAATATTATATTACTTAATATTGGTTTCAGGTGTAAAATTGATTCGACATTTTTATTCCTTATAATGTAATCATTCCACTGTCTATTAATAATAGTGATCATCTGTCTCCATGCAAACTATCACAATAGTATTGACTATATTCCCCTCCACTTTTTTCACCCATCCTTCTGGCAACCATCTCTTGGGTCTCTGTTTCTGTTTTTATTTTATTCATTTGCGTGTGTGTTTTTAGATTCCACATATAAATGAAACTATACCGTATTTGTCTTTCTCTGGTTGACTTATTTCACTTAACATAATACTCTTTAAGTCCATTCATGTTGTAATAAATGGCAAGGTTTTATTTTTTATTACTGTGTAATATCACATCACCTTTATCCATGGTCTATCAATGAACATATAGGTTGTATCTTGGCTATTGTAAATAGTGCTGCAAGGAACATGAGGATGCATATATCTCTTCAAACTCGTGTTTTCATTTTCTTTGGATAAATACCCAGGAGTGGAATTGATGAGTCATATGGTGACTCGTCTGGCAAAAATGGTAAGATTTTTGAAAAGATTTTTAATGTGTCTTTTGTGAATAACTTAAGATCATATGAGTAAAGCACCAGTAGGTAAAGATATTTGCTAAGTTTAGTTTCTAGCAACAAAAATGTAATTTCAGAAATCAATACAAACCTAGAGAAGTTTAAGTATATTTTTATTTATTCCTGGCTTTGCATGTCCTTGATTAGGTCAGGTCATAGCATTGAAAACAAACTGTTAGGTACAACAGTAGAGCTGTGCACAACATTTAATTAGTTTTCTTCTTGTTGTCCTACATATAAACATTTATGAGTATGTAGGAAGAAGAGGTTAAGCTTCCATACATTGTCTATTAGATTATAAGCATGATAGGATAATGTGCACTTCCCTTCTAGTACTTTAGCATCTCATTATTTATAGTATAGCTGACCCTCAATAAATGACTTTGCCTAATTACTCAGCCCTGATGCCAAATGAGAAGCAAATGCCAATTAAAGAATCTTATATAAACAGAGTCAAAGGGAAGTAATGCTGTTTTTTTAAAATATTTTATGCTGTAATTACAGCTTCTCTCAGTAAAAATAATGGACTGCTATTATGGAATATTTTATCATTTTGTTTTATTTGTTTCCATTCATACCGTTACTTTCACGAATGTAAATATAAATACTCAGGGGGGGGGGGATTGGCTTGCTTTCAGTTTATCTTTTTTCATGAGGGTTTCAGTACTGCATTTGAAGTCCCAGTCAGCATCAAGTGTAGGCCTGTTTTAATCCTTCTACTTGGGGTGTCAGATTGTATAACCCTAATTAAACTGATGAAAACTACAAACAAAATGCAGGAAGAGGCGGGTAGTTGGTAGTTGAATTTTAGAAGTGACCTTCTTGTCCTGTCAGCTCACAAGCACAGAGTCTGGGGAGATTAAATGCCTGCATCCCCATGGTTCCTAGCTGGTAAGCAGCTAAAAAGTGTAAAATTAAAAGCTATCGATAGTAGCATTTTGATGTTTTTAGATATTTGTACAAGTCATAAACCCAAGTTATCTCTCTCTCTCTCTCTCTCTCTCTCTCTCTCTCTCTCTCTCTCTCACACACACACACACACACACACACACACACGCGTGTGATGTCTTGGCTTTCACATGGTAAACCATCTGCAGAGGTCACCAATCACTAGATTCCTTAAGAAACCGCTCTGATGCTCCATTCAGAGCATTTACCACCTTATTTTCATTTTTGTTTCTAACTTTAACTCATAGAATCCCGTGAGATGAGGAACACATTTTGAGAAACCTGTGACAGTAGCTTTGGAAATGTAGGAGGCTAAGCAATTAGTGTCAACTTTTCCCTTGGGGGGAAAGATAAGAAAAATTAATATATACTACAGAGGAAACACAAATAGCACATTGTATCGTTTTCGACAGAGCAGCAGTCTTGTATGGGAGAGCTTTATGCTCTCTTGGAGTCAATACTATATAGCGCTAGCTTCCCTTCAGTCCTGGAGCTGAAGCAAATCATCATGACGGGTTTTTCTGTTCTTGGGGCACATGTATTCCAAAAGCTTTTGAATTTATAAAGTATTTTTGGAAATTTGTAGGAATGGGAAGTTTGCCAAATGTTACACGTTTCATAGGAGAACCAAATCAAACTCAGATGTAATCTCAAGGTGTTTTTGTGGATTCATAGACCTCGCCTTTCCAGAGGCTCATTAATTTCTATTTCTGTGATGTGGTTTAACTGGTCTCAGCATAAATTTAAAATTCAGTAAACATGGGATTACCCACCATGTGCCAAGCATTGTGCTAGGTGCAATCACACAGATCACACTCACATAATCCTTACATATATACACCCTGTAAGGGCTTATGATCCCCATTTTCCTAGTAAAAAAGTCTCACAAAAACTGTGACTCATCCGTGATTATGTGACTCAGCAGTGATGTTACTGGGATTTTATAAGTCATGTTATTTTACCCTTAAGTCTATTATGCTTCCCAATACAATAAATTCATAAGGAGAAAATCTCAAAAACACTGCTTTCTATGCATTTTGTTGATTGTTGGAAGAGAAGTCTGGTACATAAAGGAGGATGCTGGTGCTGACTCACTAAGGGAGAGTGATGCCCTGTGTTGGGTGACACCATGGGCTTTGGAGTCAGGCCGAACCGGATGGCCCCTGGCTCCTCAGCTGTGGAAAATGCCCTGCCTTCAAATAGAGTTGTTTACATTTAACTTCCAAACCTCCACTTTCTTCATCTACCAAATAATGTAACGTAACACACTTCACAGGGTTGGAATGAGAACTGAATACAATATTGAATGTAGAGCATTTAATAGAGTTCTCAGCAGATAGTACAGATTTTTTGAATTAAATGTATTGGGGTAACATTGGATAATAACATTATGTAAATTTTAGGTGTACAACATTACAATTCAAAGTCTGCATGCTCACCACCCGAAGTCTTAGTTTCCTTCCATTGTTATACACTGGACCCTTTTACTCACCACGTGCCCTCCCACCTCCCTTCCCTCTGGTAACCACCATTCTGTTGTCTGTGTGTATGTGTTTGTGCATTTGGTACTTTTAGTTTTATATCCCACACAGGAATGAAATCAGATGTTTTTTGTTTGTTTGTTTTTGTTTATTGGAGAGAAAGGAAGGGAGAGGGAGAGGGAGATAGAAACATCTATGAGATAGAAACATCAACTAGCTGCCTCCTTCATGGCACAAACCGGGGATCAAGCCCACAACCTGGGCATGTGCCCTGACTGGGAAATTGAATCAGCGACCTCTTGGGTGCGTGGGTCAACCACTGAGCCACACCATCCAAAAGAAATCATATGGCTTTTCTATCTGATTTATTTCAGTTGGTCTAATACCCTCAAGAGATCCATCCAGGTTGTTGTAAATGACAGTACTTAATCTTTTATAGCTGGATGTTATTCCATTGTATATATTTACCACACCTTCTTTATACAATCATTTGTCAATGGACACTTGGGTCGTTTTCATATCTTGGCTATTGTAAATAATGCTGCAATGAACAAAGGGATTACAAATTTTGGTAGCCATTATTAGTACCAATTGTCGTAAGAAAGGAAGATAATGTACATATTGGTTAAAGAAAAATGTTAATTATCATTTTCAGGGACATCTGAAGACTTTCTTATTCATAAAATTGAGTTGATTTCACTGTAGATATTTAGTGATATATAGCCCTTATATAGTATTTATAACTTTGTGATGCTTTTTAAAGAAATTTTAAATATGAAATCATATTGTTACATTTTCAGAGTATGTCCATATTTTAATTATTGTTGCTAACATATTGGAAGTAGTGACATGAATAAGTTCTATAAAGGAGGGAATCCTCCTTTTAAAAACTGTATGTAAACATAATTATATATAAATTCTTTGAGTCATTAAAAAAATTTATACAACCATTATACAATAGTTATAAAGCCATTTTGACAAGCTTTTAGAACAATTCCTCCCCTTGAAAATTATTCACTTTCTATTAGAGTTAATGTTTCACACAGTAGTTCAAAACTGCCTGTCAGCCAGGAGAAATTAATTTGGTTTTCATTATATATAGATAAATTAATTTTGTTAAAAAATAATAAAAGAAAAGATTGGTGCAACTAATGGTGACAGAGAGGTTTGGACTTGAAAACATTCCTGGTACAAGGAGTCTAGATTGGGAATACACAGGGTCAGTCTTCTGTTACATAGGTATACACATATATATATATATACTATTAAAGATTGGTTATATGAAAATAAGCTGAAGTTTTCCAAAATCAAGATATAACCATAGAGCCTTACTTTTTTCATTTCTTGCAGATATTTAAAAATACATCTATATAGATTTGGTCAAGATAAATCAGTGTTCAAATGATAACCTTGAATATTTGTCTTGAATGTTTGTACTATACCTTGAGATTGAAAGTACAGAGAATCTTGTACAAAAGTATGAATTTTAAATATAGAGTCTTTTCAGATTTAATCTGTCATTAGAATGAAATAGATAAATGTAAGAATGGTTTATTCTTTTAAGGATAAGCTAAATTTCTCTTGCTGGAAAACTGTCCTTTGAAAATGATGTATATCCTGAGTAGAATAAAATGGATTCAAATAAGAAAAATCTCTATTTGTAAACAAAAAGGGGTGATGTATATATGTATGGAATATATATATTCTGGCTTATTCATATCATTGTTACAATTTTAATTAATCATCTTTTAAACTAAGCAGTGAGTTTTAATATTTTAATCTTTAGGCCTTTAACATATGATCTATTCTGTAGCAAAAACATCTCAAATTATAATCCCATTTTCATTTCTTTTCTCAGATGATGAAACATGCGTGGTATAACTATAAAAAGTATGCCTGGGGATTAAATGAACTGAAACCCGTATCAAAAGGAGGCCATTCGAGCAGTTTGTTTGGTGAGTAGAATGTACTTTATGTCGCTTGTCACAATTCAGCAACAGTAACTTCTAATTGGCTGAGCTTGTGGGTGGTGGAGATGTTTGTGTGATCCTTCCCACCACGTTGCTAGGAAACTTGCACACCTGGTGGAGTTATCTGCCAGGGCCATCCTTCAGACAGCACCGGTGCATAGTAGAACCACCTGCATCCCTTAGAAAACACTGGAACCTTCCGGAGGTCCTCCTCTAATGGGTATGGGCGCATGATTTCTGGATCCCAGGGGAAACCCAGCAGGAGAGCAGTTGGTCTGCTTCGTTAGCTACTGGGTAGATGGGTGAGAGGGAGTGGAGAGAAGGGCTTCAAAGAGGAAGTCAAATTCCATTTTAGAGTAACGGTTTCTTAGAGCTATCACTAAACAATTTTAGAGCTCATTCTATTAATACGTAAACAGTTCTACACAGGTGTTCTTTGATATAATCACATTAAAATGAACGCATTGCTCCCATTTTTTAGATCAACTATTTTCTCTCTAGAGAATGCAATCACAAATGAAATTTCTAAGAGATTCATCTTGTACAACTCTGAAGAAACTAAAGACTAGTGTGTCCACCTATAGCCGGTGATAATTGTTTGACTTCTGTGCGGTTTTTAATTTTCCTTCACTGGAAGAATTTTAGACTGTGTTCATTATTACTGTTTATTAATAAATTCAGTATTACCCTCTCCTTTTCCAAGGTCTGGTCAGTTTTCATGTATGTATCTGTCAAAATTAATTGATTGACTAAAATTTTTTTCTGATATTTTCAGGCAGTATCAAAGGAGCAACAATAGTAGATGCCCTGGACACACTTTTTATTATGGGAATGAAAAATGAATTTGAACAGGCAAAATCATGGGTTGAAGAAAATCTAGATTTTAATGTGGTAAGTTAAACAAAAGTTGCCAATTCAGTTAATAGAGATAAATTCTGGCATTTGGAAGATTATTGTGTTGTACCCAAGCAGAAACAAATAATGCAACTTCTAAGTAGTATCTTACTGTATTCTTTTTTTATTATTATTTATTTTTTTACAGAGAGGAAGGGAGAGAGAGAGAGAGTTAGAAACATTGATGAAAGAGAAACATCAATCAGCTGCCTCCTGCACACCCCCTACTGGGGATGTGCCCGCAACCAAGGTTTTTTATGCCTTTGATTGGAATCGAACCTGGGACCCTTGAGTCCGCAGGCCGATGCTCTATCCACTGAGCCAAACCGGTTAGGGCTCATACTATATTCTCAACTTGTCTTCCCTTACTACACACATATGTGTCTTTGTTCCTTTTTTATTTTGGGGGAGTCAATTTAAAAGAAAATAGAAATTAGTATTTATCAAGACCTACGTGTGCCAAGTATTCTTATTCAAATCCTACATCTACCCTGTGAGGTAGGAATTGTTCTCACACCTTTACAAATTAAAACTCTGAGCCTCAGAGTTTTCACTAGACCACACAGCCAACTAACCACGTCACAGCTGTGAGTCAACACAGCTGTGCGATCTAACGCTCATACTTTTGCACTTTGTACGTTTAACATTTGTTAAGGGAAGCACAGGGTGCCAGATTGGGAGCTGCAGTTTAACGAAAGACCACAAGAGAAATTGAAATAGAGAAGTTTATTACTCACACGTCCAAGTACAAGGCTTTCCTCCAGGGGCCACATAGCACTGTCAAAGCCGGGATCAGACAGACTGAAAGACAGGAACCCCGTACATGCCTTTATTAGGCTGGATAGAGTGCTTAGGAGTTTCCAAGCTAAGACCAGATTGGTCCATTCACACCAATACTAGCGGGGTTTTGATAAGTTCTCCTGGTGTTTTTTCTAAGGGGTACTCAAGGGGATGTCCCTGGGAGGCTGGGGAATCTTACCACAAGGTCTGTCTGGGGGGTCATATTAGGAACTTACATTTTCTTGTAACTTCCAGCTGTTGTCTAGGGCATGCACTTGCGTGAGGGGCTGAGAGAGGTTGAGTTCAGGGAAGGCACCCACAGGTCACTTGACTGCACAAAATGGCTGCAGAGCAGTCATTCCATGGAGTAGCTTAGCTAAACGCTCGGCAGCATCCAGCAGCGCTGCACCCACTTTTTTGTAAACAAGGCTTTGAAATTTGTTGACTGAGTAACCTCAACTATAAAATCATGTCAATATATATTTTAAATATTTTTAAGAATTTGCATATGTACTATTATTCTTTTTAAAAATATATTTTATTGATTTTTTTTTTTTTTTTTTTTTTTTTTTACAGAGAGGAAGGAAAAGGGATAGAGAGTTAGAAACATCGATGAGAGAGAAACATCGATTAGCTGCCTCTTGCACACCCCCTACTGGGGATGTGCCCGCAACCAAGGTACATGCCCTCGACCAGAATTGAACCTGGGACCCTTGGGTCCGCAGGCCAACGCTCTATCCACTGAGCCAAACTGGTTAGGGCTATACTATTATTCTTAACAAAACCCACATACACCGAGGGAAAAGGTTCGGAATTAAGAATGGGGGACGCTTCTGCTGCTCCATGAGAACTTGGACTTGGAAGAAGCAAGGGCTCTCCAAGTAGGCTTTGTAGTCAGTTCAGGTGACTGTGGAGCTGCTCAGAGCTGAGACTACTACTTAAAAGAGTACGAGACATGCCAGGTGACTCCTAGGCTTTCTCATTTAGTCTTTGTGAGAATCATCCAGGAAAAGGGCGTTCTCCCTATTTTTATAGATGGAGAGGTGCTTGCTTAATCTGCCCCAATCATGCAGCAAGAGCTGTGGTTGGAACAAGGTCTGCCTAACTCAGTGACCCGGTTTCTATTGGAGAGGAAATGCCAAGTGTTGAGAAATAAATACATAGACTGACAGAATCTGAGTCCTCCAAGGTTAGGTATGTAATCGTAGTAGCACAGCGCTCATTAAGTGCATTGCTCCATGGGTATCCGATGAATATTAATGAAACGAATGAGAAGCCAAGCTGTGCTGTCCTACTTCCCAACAGACTCCTCTGGAAGACACCTTATCAGGGTGCAAGGGTGGCTGTCATTTTCAATATGCTTGAAATGATCTGGGGTTCAAGTGCAGTTGGTCTACTTGTTTTTACCTAGCCTACTTCCAGAATGGGCTTGTGGTAGCTCCTGTTACAGGAAGATCATTACCATACGGAATAATCCAGTTTCGGATTTGGCCATTTCTAAATCCAGTACTGAGCTTCCTGTTCTATACAGTCACTTTCCAGAAGCATTGATTATCTAGGTCCTTACATGAGAAATATTGACAATCATCTTCAGTAATGAATTTTATAGACTAGACATTTTCCCCAGCTTAACCATAACTTAGGTAGACTCTTAGGAAAAGCCAAAGTGACATTAACATGATTCTCAAGAAGCTTTGTTCTGCGTTGAGGTAAAGTAGTATCTCGGGTGAGAGGCCAGGTGTTGAGGATGACAATGGAAAGATGATTAGCTGCTCCAGACACTAACTGGCAGCACGCTGGGAGAGTGATCTCCGGCACACACCTGCATTGTATCTTTGATTGTAAGGAACACCATATGTTTTAGATAACAGAGATACTTGTGGCCAAAGTGGTTTTATTTTTTAAAGTTCCAAACTGTTCTCTTATCTAGTCTGCTGAGTGCCACAGTGCTTTGCAGGGAAGTAAGTTGTAGGGCTTGCTCTCCGAAGGATGTAAATGGACCTCAAGAAGTGATTTTGGGTTTTCTCGGATGCCTGTTGAGCACTTGGCTTGGGTCCAGAGCTCCAAGCCATACAGCCTGAAAGAAGGGAGTTTTGCCTCAGTCTGACTCTATGAGTCATCTGTCTTAGAGCAGCCTCACATAACTAAGTTTACTGTCCTGTTGCATGGGGTTATTCAGTATTTTCCATCTGAATGTTCATCAGTGCTTGCCTAGAGGGATGGTTTTGGCTTTTTAAGAGGATATTGAGCAGTTCTCTGACCCTTATTAGTGATGGATGGGACTGCTACTTGAGGCCCTTCTGAACCTACTGTACCTGGTAAAGCCAACCTGTTAACATAATCTTCTGTCTTTGTGCATTTAACATTCTGTTCACTGTAAAGGGTTTATCGGGTTACTTAAATACGAAATTAAAAGCCACTAGGACATATGTTTCACTAAGTTACACTGTTTAATATTGCAATCTGATCTGTTAAAGGAGTTTTATACGTATTCTTAATCCTCAAGTGTACCCTTTATAAATAAAGGTGTATAGTAAGCCTAAACATAGACAAGGCTTATAGGCAGTTACCTGTCTTTAATTAGTGGCTTTGAAGAGTCTCATGTTGTTTCTACCATATTTTTCAGTAAGGTAAAGCATAGTTATAATGACTGTTAGTAGTGGAAAATTATTATTAAATACCGTTGCTGCTTTGGATTGTAGTGGGACAGTTATTATTGCACAGAGTTAATATCGGATGGTAGTCGAGCCGTTGTTATTAAACGTAGTTATTGCACTGGTTTGTAGTCGGGCAGTCTGCTTGCCTCTTACATATGGGAACAGACTGTGAAACCCAGACTTATAGTTCATTGTGTAGAAAGAATAGTTAGTAAATGAGTACTCTTCGAGAATTATTCCCCTTTAAAAAGAGAGAGATAATTATCTTTGAAAAACGTCTCTCAGAATTAGTATTGAACACTAAAAGTAGAATTAACATATTTTTGAAAATAAAAGTTCTTTTTCAATTTAATGTAATCAATTGGATGTCAAGCTGTGTGGAATCATGGGATAATAACTATGGAGAATGCTGGTACAAGTTTGATTCTAGATAATTATAAGGTTTGAAAGTGCAAAGCAGCAATATATCTGTCCTTTAGGGAAACTTTTGCCTCTATAGTTCCTCAAACAAAAGGAAACTGGCTGGATTGTTCTATAGGTGTTAGTGTAATGGTCAAACTAGTTACATCATTTATTGAGATCTATTAAAATAGATCATTTTATAGAGAAACCAAAGGCCCAGTGCACCAAATTTGTGCACGTGGGTGGGGATTGTCTCTCAGCCCAGCCTGCACCCTCTCCAGTCTGGGACCCCTTGAGAGATGTCTGACTGCCCATTTAGGCCTGATCGATTGTCCCCAACTGCCCTCCCTTGCAGGCCTGGTCTTTCCCAACTGCCCTTCCCTGCTGGCCATCATGTGGTGGCCATCTTGTGTCCACATGAGAGAAGGATCTTTGACCACATGGGGGCAGCCATCTTGTGTGTTGGAGTGATGGTCAATCTGCATATTACTCTTTTATTAGATAAGATTGGTTTTAAAAAGCACAACCTAATGGATTTCTTTGAGTTGTTTAGCAGGGGGAAGTTGGTCTTTCCTGCACTTGTTTTGAAATAGTCCCTTTCCCTCTTGCCCAGCTCAGGTTCTTCATGCTCATGAGCTCATTATGGTCAGTTGAATTGCAGAAAACCTTTCCCAGTAGAGAAATGCAGCTTAATGTTAAGGATTTGGGGGAGGGAGGTACGAAAAATTATTTATTGACTTAATTTTTTTTTTCATTTTAGAAAGCTTTGTCCATTTCATAGATGTAGAGTAAATCAAAGGACAGAAATGATAGGGAAAGGAGTAACGCTTAAGGTGGAAATGATCAATCTAAGACACCCAAGACAATTTGAGAGATTAGTACTGAGGCCTCATTTTATTGTGGTTTCTAAGACTCACCTGTTGTTTTTAGGTGTAAACTGAGTTATGCCATTTATTTTATTAAAGTTTCCATATGAATCTGGTTAAGTGTGCTCTTCGATTCAAAGGCTGTTGGTAGAGGAAAGTCAAAATGAAAGAGCAGTGACTCTCATCCTGATTTTCTGTGTGACTATGTCTTTAGCCAAAAATACCCACCTTCCCCTTGCTCATCAGCTGTGATATTAGCAATTTAAACAGAAGACAGGATCTACATGTCAAGCTGAAACTCACATATGATGTGTGCTAAAGGCCATGGGATACATAGGGCAGATTCCTGGAAAGCAGACACGCATGAAAGAGATGGCAGAGTTCGCCTTCCTCGTTAGGATAAGTCACACAAGATTTCCATGTCACAGGCTGGTTAGGGTTTGCCCTCCTTTCCCATTCTGTCCTTCCTCTGCCCCAGCTCCTCTTCTGTCATTAGGGTGAGTGACTGAGAAAAAAATTAGAACATCTTAAAAGACACTACCTGAATATTAACAGGAGGTACATATTTATTTAAATTTAATAAGATTGTTTTAATGGAAAATGGACTTAGAAGCTTATAAAAATGGCTTAAAAACTTCAGGTTGCAGAAATTTACTTTTGGAAATCCAGATGTCATATAAATGATATTAAGCCCAAGAGGAAGTTTGGTCAGAATTCTATATTTCAAAAGAGGGTTTTTGTTGTTGTTGTTGTTGTTTTTAGCCATTAAGAAATATGACTCCCTGGAGGGTCAGAGATGTATCAGTTTGCAGTCTAGAATTTAGAATATTATGATTTTGGAGTTCCCGGTTTTTCCAGCAAATCTCTGTGGAAGGTCATTTAGGCTGAGCTGCTGTACAGACATAATGGCAGCAGCTCACTATTGAGTGCTTGACCTGTTCCAGGCATCGCGCACAGTGCCTCCCACTCACAGACTATAGTGCCTTTAAAGAGTGCTCTGTTCCTTGTGCAAATGAGAAAACCAAGACTCAGAGAGAAGAAGTTACTTGCCTAGGAGCTCACATTTCAGCTAGCTTCCAATCCAGTCTTCAGCCCCAGGTCTTTCTGAGGCTAAGGTAGTATTTTTATCGTCTGCTCAACAATATGGTCAACCAATTTGTTGCAGTGGGCGAATCGTTATCTTCTTGATCCTTTTCACCTGAGAATCGGTAAAGAGTGATGTGTCAAAATTTCAGTCTTCTGACCCAAAATGTAGGGTAGCCCAGAAAGTGGAAATTAAGATTTCTAAATAATTTATATTTCATTTTGAGAAAAAAAGGAGAAAAAAATTATATGTTGGGAATTCAAATGTAATCCAGGTTTTCAAAAGGAGGAAGATATGATGACTGTTGAGTGCTACTAATGGTGATGTGACCTTCCTGAGCCAGATTTATAAAGAGAAGGACAGAGCAATCACTGGGAAGGGCATGGATTCACTCGCAGCCAGATTTGCTTCTTACACAGGCTCACTAGACTGTTAGGTCCATGAAATTCAAAACACAAAGCTATTGACTTTGATTGAGCATGGCACTTTGCAAGGTTACTTCGATATCTTACATGTAGAGCAGGATAAAGAGAGTTCTAGAACACATGCTGAACCAATAACTAGTTGAACAACTGTAACCAATAGGTGATTGATACATAGTTTAAGATATATTTCTAGTCATGTTTGAAATGGCTCAGTCGCAATAATTCTTATCAGATGTCTCTATAAAGGTCCTAATTACCTAAAATTTTTATAGGAGGAAGAGAGAAGACATGTCTAATGAGCCAATAACCAGAGTAAGAATATAGAAATCATCTTAACAGGCTTCAATAGGCAGAAATATGGAGGACTGTTCTCAGATTTAAAACTGAAGAACACAATTACAAATTGAAAGTGATACAATTTGAGGATTTAGAGTCATTAGGTTTTATGATTAGACACCAGCAGCCCAACATCCTCCAAGGGTCCCGGATTAAGAGAGGGCACAGGCCAGCCAAAAGACCCCACTGGTGCACAAATCCATGCACCAGGCCTCTAGTATGCATATAAGATCCTTGGTTAATCTCTTTCTGCCCTCCCCCTTTCCCTTTTCCCTCTGAGATTCATTAGTCTGTTTCATGTTTCCATGCCTATGCATTGAGCCCCCTGGTGGTCAGTGTGCATCATAGCTACCCGTCAAACAGTCACTTAGGCTTTTATATATATAGATTATGACCCTTAGACATACAAAATGCACCTGTGTGATCCAAAACAAATTAATGGATTTCCTTTTTCTTATCAATAATTTTGTGGAATACTAAAACTTTTACAAATATTTACATAAATTCACCCAGGGTCATATACCATGGATCAATTGCACCTATACAGGGTATTTTTAATCAAATTATATTCGACATATGCTACAAATTATGAAATACAGCTAAACAACTCATCACAGATTGCTTTATGATATGTTTGCTTAACTCTGGCCCAATAATTCTTTCTCCTGAGTAGTTTTCATAATCTTTTTGCAGGAAATTTTTGGGGAAAAACATTTTAACTTAAACAGTTACTTAGCTTTAATTGTAAGGTCCTTATACCTTTTCAGAGATCATTTGGGAATTAAATGAAAATATGCCTCCTTTTTTCCTCTGGAACTGTTTCTTCCCACTATCATTCAGACTTCATGAGTTTGAGGACCTGTCAGTCTTCAATCCCATATTCTTAGAACATAGAAGTTGGTTAATAAATGTTTTGAAAGGAAATAAAATCTCAGATGATTTTGACTAAGTTTATCTGCCAGATATTTACGCCATATATTACAATTGGCTCTTCTCCCCCATGATTATCTGTAAATGGTTTGATGTTAGGCAGAAGTGAACAATTACTGAGTAGGCCAAAAGAATATAAAAAGAAGCGAACTAAAGCTTAGAGTGTATCATGCATCTATTGTAGGTTAGTTTTATTAAATTATCTAGTAACAGAATGTAAGACAAATCCATTTAGTAGTCAAGTATCATAAAATAATGAAAGTATTGGCAATAATGACTGTTGCCACAATGAAATGACTATTAATAAAGAGACTTGGTGCATTATCGTGTTAGGTGATATTGGTAGCAGAGCCCTGGACCAAGAATTTAGTACTCGAGTTCAAACCCTGATTCAAATACTTATTAGTTGTCTGACCTGAGAGTCAGAGTGACCATTATAAATCTCAGTATCTCCATTTGTAAAATGGACATAAAGATAGCAGTTACTCCAGAGGGCTGGTGTAAGGCTTAAAAGACATAGTCCATGCAAAGAGATTAGCACAGAATCTGGTGTAGTGTAAATAATAATAATAATAACAAGCTTCTATTAATATAAACAAGAGCAATTTCAGCAGCATACATATGATTATCATCTCCTTCATGCAAAGATTAAATTTCTTCTCAGGGGCTGACCCTTCTAGGCTGCAGGCAGATAGTTGGGAAGCAGCACTAGACCCAGGTCCCCCAGCCTAAAATCTATTTTGCATTCTCACTGTGCTACTTTAACATGGTGCGAGAAGGATACTAGAATAGTGGTGAATTGCCAGGCAAAGTGTGAGTCCAAATGACCTTGCAGGAAGAAAAATCTAATGAATAAAAAAGAACACAGAATAGAACAACAGAATGACCTGGCCCTAGTGCATCTGCACAAATAGAGAACACTGAGCATTGTAAATGCTGTTGAATAGAGGGAGGAAATAAGATATCATAATCGTATAATACATAATAAAAGGCTAATAGGCAAATCAACCAAACAGTGAAACAACCGGTCACTCTGTTGTATACTGACCACCAGGGGGCAGATGCTCAACACAGGAGTTGCCCTATGATGGTCAGTGTGCTCCATTAGGGGGAGCACCACTCATCCAGAAGCCGGGCTCACTGCTGGTGAACACAGATGCAGTAGTGGGCAGTCAGACATCCCCTGAGGGCTCCTGGACTGTGTGAAGGCACAGGCCAGGCTGAAGGCCCCCTGCTCAAGTGCACAAATTTTGTGCACTGGGCCTCTTGTTTTTTATAATTGAGATTTTGAGTCAAAATTATTCTATGTATTTTGAAAGGATTTCCCCCTATTATATATAAACTAAAGTCTCAGTGCATGAATTTATGCATGGGTTAGGTCCCTCAGCCTGGTCAGTAATCCAGGCCTATTGGAGGCCAGCTGGTCTGTGGGAGGGACCCTGGGAGATTAGCAGGCCAGGCGGGGGGGGGGGGGGGGGGGGGGGAGGGTTGGGGCGGGCGTAGAAGGTTGGCTGGCTGCGGGGAGGGGCCAGAGGAGGTTGGCTGTGAGAGTGCACTGACCACCAGGGGGAAGCTCTGTGTTGAGCATCTGTTCCCTGGCAGTCAGTGTGTGTCATAGCGGCTGGTGGACTGGTTGTTCTGGTTGTTCGGTCATAATGGTCACTTAGGCATATTATATATATATATATATATATATATATATATATATATATATATGGGCAAGCATATATGATTTGAATAAAATTTAAAAGATTAGTGCATTTCTCACAGTATTTTTCTCAATTGTATACTGTTGTTTATATATGCACCTCCTTTATTTTGTTTCTACAGAATGCTGAAGTTTCTGTTTTTGAAGTTAATATACGCTTTGTTGGTGGACTACTCTCAGCCTACTATCTGTCTGGAGAAGAGGTAATGAAAAGTGGCACACAGATGGGAATTACTGAGTGTCTTAAAGTTACAATTTTAGGATAAAATAAGCTCTGGGGAGTATATATTTAGGGGGTACCCACTGAATATTCTTATTCTTATGGACCTCTAGCTTACACTGAATTTTACATAATATGCACTCATTTAAATGAGCACACTGGGAAAGTTTGGCAGAACATGTCAGGAAATGGTACGCATTGCCTTTAAAAAGCCTGGCTCCATTATGTTACATATAGTGTGATTATCACTACAAATTATATTTTTCTGTGGACTAAATAAAGAGATTTAGTGCAGTGGCAGGCTTATGGGTGAATTTTTTTTCTTTAACCTTTTAACATTTGTTTAAGATCAGTTTAATAAAAACGTTTTAAAATGAAAAAAGCTTGGTAAGTAAAGTATAAAGAGTACCGTATTTATTATAAGAAACTGAGTGGGCGAGTGAGGTGCTCAGCTTTCCAGGGAGGGTCCTGCAGGCCAGTGGCCCAGCACGGAGTGCTTTGGTTGAGTTAACTCCGTATCTGCAGCTCGGTGCAAAGCAGGAGTTTTTATTTAGCTGCCTTTTGTTGATAGATAAAGAACACAGATTTTCTTGAAAGGCTTTGAACGTGGGGCTCACCTGTGATGTTGACTGTTAAGAGCTCAGGTCAAGGAAATGCAGTCATGGATTTCAGTTGCAAGCACGTCACTCAGATGTGTGTTGACCCCAGCGTTCTAGCTGGAGGAAGAGTGGATCTTACCTGGGGTGGTATTTCATGTATTTTGATGCTCCTTCACACAAATTAAGCAGAGCAATAAATGTTTAACAAGAAAAACTGCTTTAACATTGTCCTATCTCTCAGATTCTTCGCCATAATAACACAGCCTGCACAATCTTAACATTTTCTCTCTTTAGATTTTATTCCACCAGAGAGCTTTTCAAAGTGTTATTGATGGCTTCTGTGTTCCCCTATTTTTCCTCTTTACAGCCTTCATTTTCTCCATCATCATTTATCCCCTCTATGTCCTCTTCCACCTCCACCTGCCCCTCCCCGGCCATCACCACAGGGTTGGCCATGTCCATGAGTTCTCTCTCTTCTGCCCTGCTTACATCTCAAAGTCTGTTCTTCATTATGGACTTTGTCACCTTCTCAGCCGGGGTAAAGAGACCCACTGGTACGCTGGGCCTCCTCTCTTTTGCCAGCCCCCAATAATTTTACTTGTCCAGTTTGGTTTAGACTTTTCTGAGCATTAAGCCAGGGAATCATGCTTTTAAAATGTCATACTTAAAATTACCCGGTTTTATTTTAGTTAACAGATTTCTGCTTTTGGAATACTTGTCTTTGAGTATCTTCTGCCTGGGTGTTCTCATTGTTTTTCACATGGCATACTTAGGGTGACCTTAGTTTTAACTTTCTTCATCATTTATGTGGAGGTGAGCTGAAATATATCGGAGTTCACATAGAAAAATTAGGTGTACAAAGAGAAACAACTAAATGGTTTCTAATAAATATGCATCATGTTTAATTAGGATACTTTTTTCACTTGTAACAGTGATTTTATTTTGTACACATATTTATTTTTATATATATGCATATTATATAAATCATCATCAGAAATATATACCGGTAGGCCCCCATTGTTATAAACTCAAAATTCCTGAATTTATATTGCAAAAATAGAAGAGGGAGTACCACTGAGTTGTGTTATGTGCCTACAATTATAAACACTGAACAATAATCAGGAATGCCAATGAAACTTTAAGCCTGTCATAAGAACAATAGGAAATTAAGTACCTATAATGAACTTTTACTTCAAGGACATATTCAGAAACTTTAAACACCCTAGCTCAGTTAAAATATCTAATACTACTGGGGGAAAAGTCAAACCACAAAATTTTCAAAGTCTGTATAAGAAACGCAAGCAACAGAAGCACTGCAAACAGACAGGATAGAGATCAGATGAATACTAAGTAGGAATGATCAGTATGAAAGATAAGTAAAATAAATAGCATTGCTCTCTTATGAGCTCAAGGGAATTGTAAGTCCTCATTGGAGACAGTAACAGCAGCATCTGGACTATGTTCTACACACCACTGATTTCTTTAGATATGGCAGGAAAAACCTGCCTGTAACATACTAAAAATAAGTCAGAAAAAGCTACATCCTGTAATCTTTTTTAGAAACTCACAATGCACAGAAAAACAAATTAAAATGTATTATTTTTCCATACTTATTTAACTATAACTACCCTTCTCATTTTTATGTAACATTTTTCAACACTGAGTTACAAATATTACTTCCCAAAACAAATTTTGGAAAACAGCATTGTAGAATAAGAGTAACCAAAGCAGCCTGGCAGTGTAGCTCGACCTATGAACCAAGAGGTCATGGTTAGATTCCCAGTCAGGGCACAGGCCCAAGTTGCAGGCTTGATCCCCAGTGTGGGGCTTGCAGGAGGCAGCCAATCAACGATTCTTTCTCATCATTGATGTTTCTATCTCTCTTTCCCTCTCCTTTTCTCTCTGAAATCAATAAAAATATATTAAAAATAAAAAGAGCAACCGCAGCAAATAATATTGGAAATTGGCAAATGCAAAACAAGACATTGTAAGAGAAGATGATACATGTAGGAAATAATGTGTATGAATATCCCACATATTATTATCTGTATTACCACAGAAACCAATGGCTATGTAGAGCAGAAAGTGAATTTCATAGGACATAGTGACACCACAGAATGAGAGAGAAGGCTGAAGAACAGGTTGGAACTAACAGTCTCAAGTTGCCATAGAGCATCTCTCTGGTTTGACAATCACTCTGGGACAACCTAGAGTTAATAAACATGCACTATTTTTATACTCTTGTCAAAAAACAAAGTCACAGGAGAAAGAGGTCAATTGGCAGTTTCCATTACATGTGGTTCCTTGGGGACCTTGGGGAATGAAACAGGATGTGATAGAAGCACTCTTCCGGAGAATTCGATTTCAGTATCCTGTGAAGACCAGGGATAAGGAAGTATGAATAATTACTGAACAGCAAATTGATGCCCTATCAGAAGAGTAGAGAAAATAAATGTTTTGGAGCCAAAAACAGAGAACGAATATACAGGGGTGGGCAAAAGTAAGTTAAGATTATTAAAAGCGCCAGGACCAGTTTGGCTCAGTGGATAGAGCATTGGCCTGCGGACTGAAAGGTCCCAGGTTCGATTCCAGTCAAGGGCATGTACATTGGTTGCGGGCACATCTCCAGTAGGGGGTGTGTGCAAGAGGCAGCTGATCGATGATTCTCTCTCATTGATGTTTCTAACTCTCTATCCCTCTCTCTTCCTCTCTGTGAAAAATCAATAAAATATATATATATTAAAAAAAAAGTTAAAAAAAATTTTTTAAAAAAAGATTATTATAAGAGCTTTATTAACTCAATGTTTCACATACAATTGTAAGCCTTCTTTTGTCCACTCCTGTATAATATATTTTTTAATTTTTTTTAAATATATTTTATTGATTTTTTACAGAGAGGAAAAGAGAGGGATAGAGAGTTAGAAATATCAATTAGAGAGAAACATCAATCAGCCACCTTTTGCACACCCCCCACTGAAGATGTGCCCGCAACCAAGACACATGCCCTTGACCTGAATCGAACCTGGGACTTTTCAGTCCGCAGGCCGCCGCTCTATCCACTGAGCCAAATCGGTTTTGGCATATTTTTTTATTGTCTAAAGTTTTATATGTCTCCTTTTTCTCCAGTTGACTCCCTCCCCCATCCCTTCCCAACCCGAGCAAGCCCCCACCACCCCAGTGTCTGTGTCCATTGGTTATGCTAATATGCGTGCATATAAGTCCTTTGGTTGCTCTCTAATCCCACCCCTCCTCTACCATTTGTGTCTAGATCGATCTATTCTTACAATATTAAAATAGACTACCTAACAAGCAACTCATGTATAAGCATCACTTTAAATTATGAGGAAAGCAAAGGTGTACTTTGTTCTAAATACGTAACTCTAAATATCTACATTATGAAAAAATTACTGTATAACATAGCCTATATTTCATTAATTAGGAAAAAAGGACATCATAGACATCAGGACGTAAGTAGATTGTAAAATGAGAAAATGGCTGGGCTGATAAAGCGTTTTTTCCCTCCTCGTTAACATTCTTCCTGAGAATATTTTCCCGGGAAAGAACTTGGTCACAGGAAGAACCACCTTATTCATCTGCTGAGCGGTGGAGGCATTTGCAAAGGGCACGTCTGAGTGGCGCTCTCAGCAGGAAGGCTCTCGCTGGTCTGTGCTTTCTGCTCAACAGCTTGAGCAAAGAGGAGTGCTGGCCAGCTAGGGCAGCGAGGCACCCAAAGCACAGGCACCACCGGGGAGAAGTCACGCGTCTCTTCCCTCGGGGTTGATTGCACTCCCGCCGCACGCTGGGCACTGTTCTTCGCCTTGAGATTACCTGGGGACAAAAGCTCCTCGACCCCTGCCCTGTGGAGCTTCTCCCTTAGAGAGGAGACACCCAAACTGGGGAACTTGAACCGACCTGTAAGAAGGAAACATTTGTGGTTTGGTTTGGCCGTGTTGCTTTGGGTCTGGCAGGACAATAAGCAGGCAGAAAACAGACTAAGAGATGTCCGAATGAACTGGCCTTCCATAGTTTCAGCATCTGACTTCTTCCGCCAGTTCTGCACTTCCACCCTAAATAGAGACAAGATTGCGTGTCACTCAGCCCTTCTCTAAACCCTTTTCTGCTCCTTAGGTCTTAAAAGTTGACTTTTCCATTTGGCCAACATAACCTTCATAAATCTGACCTCAGCCTACTGTTGCCTTCATTACTCCCCTCAGGCACTTGCCTCTCTAACTACAATGGGCTGCCCCCCTCTGCCCCCCCAAAAAAATACCCTAGGCACATAGGTGTACTTTGCCTCTGCCTACACCCTCTTCCTTCCACTTCCCCCCAACCTAGACATTGCCCCTCTGTGAAGCCCTCCCTGATTGCACTGCTCAAGCCACCT